CCATCCTGATCCATGATCCTGAACTAACTCGTAGCCACTGAAGGTTACGCCACTGAATTTGATGCCCTCACTAACGCACACGAAGAAGGAAGAAGTTCACAGACGTGATGAATTTAGTTCTACCGACTAGCCGACTACTGTTGTGTGAGGGGCAGGCAAGTTTTATCCTCACGACACAGCGGCAGGGAAGCGTCAGTGGTCGTCGAACAGGCAGGACGCGTGGTAGATTTCTGATTCCGTGGTGTCGCGACGGACAAAGTCCTTCCCTACATATTGGAGAACGTGGAGATTATATTTCCGGTTGCCGCATGGTTCTCCACGTTTGTGCAATCAACAACGGGGGGCGGGGTGAAGTGAAATAAGGGTGCGTAAAGTAAGGAGTGCGTGTACGATTGTATGTGTGTGCGTGTGCGTGCGTGTGCGCGTATGTGTGTATATATATATATATGTGTGTCTTTTTTTTTCCCTTTTTTTTTCCTCTTGCACGTCTTTCCGATACGGCATGTCCAGCACATGAGGCGTGTACGCGTTATATACACATAGGTAGATAGGAGCGCGAGAGAGAGAGAGGGGGAGAACGAAGAAGAGAGGAGGTAACTTCGTAAGCGCGTCCGAAGTGCACACATTTTGTGCACTAGACCCTAGATTAAAAAGAGAAGGGGGAAGGGGAAAGGAAGATCGTACATGGGATATATTGATAACGAAGTCCCCGTAAGTCGCCTTGGCCCGTCGTGTCTTGATGATTCGCGCTTTGTACCCGAGAGATCATCCAGAGACTCACGAGAGACCCATAAGAGAGGAACACTACTTCTTCAATCTGCATCTCTTTGACAGCTGTACTTTTATTAGATCGCCGTCCACAACGTTTCGCTGTCGCGAGAGAAGCCGTCTACCAAAATCACTGTAAGTAAGTTCAACGCACTTTCTTCTCCTCCGCTTACAAGATAAGGTGAAACTAATTCGCATTCGCTTTTTGCTTATTAAGTGCAAAGTGGTATTGGGAGCGTTTAAACGTTGTTTTTCCGTAATTTAAAACGCGATTGTATATATGAAAAAAAAAACAGACACGTAAAAGAGCCTTGAGACGTTTAAAAGAAATAAGAGTAATCGGCAATTGAAGATTTTTTTCCTTATCGTTTACCTTTACCATTAACAATAAGCTTACTGTCGCTTATTTTTCTAGACATCTCTGCGCTGCACTTATACTTATCGCTGTCTACGAAAAGTTTTTTTTTTCTTTTCTACGTAAAGTGAGAAATTATTGGATCATTGATAGATCTCATCCGACTTTCGTTTTTTTAAATCCAACGTTTGTGGCTGATGATTTTGCTTTTATCTCTCTGCGCCTCGCGCATCCGTTTTTGCAAGTTTAGCGAATAAATCGGTCGAGAATAATTTGCATTTGTCGACCAGATTAAAACGTCAAAATAGTTCGCTGGCATTATTAATCATAGTCGTACGGTTCCACGTACGCAACATTTCCCAGTTCGTGAGATTTCCTCCTTATCTCTTTTCTTATCATTTGCTTGCTTCTAATTCCTACTGGGTCGACTAATAAGTCGGTGAGAGCGCGCGTGACTCACCCTAAGCGAGAAATGCAAATATCGACTGACTTTCCCTCGCGGAGCGATTTCACCCCAGTTCACGAAACATCGATCGTTTTATTTTCTTTTATTATCTTAATACTCGCAATTATATATATTTGGGAAGGGAAAAATAGAAGCGGGAAAATGATACATCTGATAAATTTAAAATGTTGAACTCACGGTATAGAAATTCCATATTTATGTATATTCGACATTAAAATGTGAAAAATGAATAATGAAGAAATAATTAAAGATGAACTGTAAAAGTATAAATAGCAAAAGTAAAGTTAACAAAAATAATATAAAGACATTTTTTTTCATCATTTATGTCAAATTTGTCATTATCGGTTAAAATGGAACAAATTGTGAAATTTTAACGAAAAATCTTTAACGAAAACGCTGCTTCTATCAATTTTACACAAAAGTACGAAAATATTTTTATAACTCTTTGGCAGTAAGATTGACAGGGGATAGAAGTCGGTTGCTGCATGATTTGTAATCTGGTAGTTTGGCTATTTTTTTGTAAAATTTAAGAAAGAAAGAAAGGGTTAAGAGAAAGTAATGGTTAGGTAGGTCACTGGACAATCTTTTTTTCACGCTCATTTTGTCTCGAGAGTTTTATAATAACAAGTTTTTTGCTATGAATGCCGACGGCAAGGGTTAAAGAAGACAATGGTTCAAGCAAATGTCACCATTTAGATTTTTTTTATGCTCGTATATATCTCTACAATGTGTACGAAAATAATGAAATTTCACAAGAATTGACGCGCAATTCTTAGGGACTGCATTACAATTTCATCTGCGATATTCAATTTTATATCCGCCTTTATTAACGTCGACAGCTCAATGTAATGTTACAATACGTATTAATATTATAGAGTATCATTATAATATATTAATACTATTTTGGTAATATAATTCTAAAGCGAAACAGGAAACTTTTATTATACTATATATTTTATATAATATTAAAATATAATTATTGGAAAAATTTCTATACATAGCATTACTAAAGTTTAAATATACAACTTTTGAATAAGATAAAATGCTTTTTGAATATACATAATTTAAATATTTGGCGACATCTGTCTAGACATCGTCTTATCATATCCTTATCATTATGGTCATTTTTTTTCTAGTTTGTACAGCGTTAGCTGTATTCGTGCTCGAAAGTCTTTTTCTAATCGTATTCGGACCTTAAGATATGTAATCTTTGCTTACTTTCGAAAACAGTCTGGAGGATGACAATGAGTTTTTGGATTCTCAACCAAAGATTAACAAGGGATGGCATAAAAGAAAAAAATGAGAGTACTTTATCTGTTTATCGCAGACATTTAACGGTCAAACTTTGTATGTCGTAATCATATATAATAGATCGTGTTCGAAATGTAGACCTATTTCAATATTGCGAAATCATCTATCATAAGTATTTCTAAATAACATAGAAATTAACTATTTTATAAATTCTTTCGGATATGGATTGTGTTAAAGACACAAGGAAAGGTTCGTAAATTTTTTAATTAGTTAATTTAACAAAATTAACGAGATGTAAAAAAATTGTGTGATAGCGTAAATATCTCGGTAAGTGCGAGCTCAATTTTTTTCTTTTTGTAAAAATAGTAAATTTCATACAATTTCGTTATTCCCGATATTATTTCTATTTGCAATAAGATCGATACCGAAATTGTTTCAGTTTCAATCTTATTTGAAATATTGTTGATACTCTTCCTGTTGACATCGATAGGAATGGAACTTTTGTCGATTTAATTTTTAGTAGCAAAAAGAAAGAACGTTGCTACAATGCAAATGACAAACTGTATAATAATGCGCACATTAGATGCAATTATGACCTTTGATCCCTCGCACAGGCCCTTATCACTAGATAAATTCAATAGTTTCTAGAATTTTTTCGGATATTTGTCAAATGAATGCGTCATCAGCAGGAAACTCTAAGGGCGTTAGGGCGGAGGGGGGGGGGGCATTACATGCGTAACCAACATTTCGATCTCGTCGCTCGAACGAGTCAGTCGAGCTAGCAGTCTTTCTTTGAACAGGACCGTGTTTGCCATAGATTGCACGCTGGCAGATAAACAGCCATGGACATCATGTCTGCCTCGCAACAATACTGCCTCCGATGGAACAATCATCGCTCGAACCTGCTGAACAGCTTCGAGGAGTTGCTGCACAACGCGGCGTTCACCGACGTCACCCTCGCCGTCGAAGACGGCAGGACGGTCAAGTGTCACAAGATCGTGCTGGCTGCGTGCTCGACGTATTTCCAGACTTTATTTCACCAACTGTCAAGCTATAATCACCATCCGATAATCGTCCTTAAAGATGTTGGAATGCCGGAGATAAAGGCGATACTAGAGTACATGTATCGCGGCGAGGTGAACGTCGCGCATGAACAGTTACCCGATCTGCTGAAGATCGCGCAAGTACTGAAGGTAAAAGGGCTGGTTGAGGAGCACGGTAGCAATACGTCGAATACGCCTCACGATCTTCGCTCCGAGGGTACGTCGGTGTCGCCGCCACCCGATATCAGTACCAGCACCAGCACCGGTGGTGGCGGCGGCGCCAGCCACTCGTCGCCGCCGTCTTACTACTCCCTTTACGGGAACTCGGCCTCGGACGCCCGCGATTCGAGTCACCTGGCAAGTTCATTACCAACGTGGCCGTTGTTACATTCCACGGGTCATCCCGTGCTTCCAAAGTCGCTATCCTCGATTCTTGGCGGTGGCAGCGGCAACAGTGGCGGATCCTACGATAACGTTATTGAAACCTCGCCGTTCATCAAACGCCGGAAGTTGCCGCAGCCACCGTCAGGCCTGCTGATAAATAACGACACGCCGATATTGCGCACGGTACTTGGCCAGGCTCACGTTGACAGTTCGCAGGCAGTTCTGCCGCTGTTGCAACCAGACAGCCATGAACCAGTCAGCTACCGCAACGCAAACAGCAATGGATCCACAAACGACAGCGATAATCGCCGCAGCAACGACCTGGCACACGGTGAAACGACGGTCCATGCCGATGCCTCCTACGCAGATGAAGACGAGAGACAACCGTCTCCGCAGTCTTATCCAGATACCGCAAGGAATTCAGGTAGCAATAGCAACTCAAATATCGCAGGAGTTTTATGTCACGAAAGCACTGATTATTTAAAGTTGTCTGCTTTACATTATCTACAACGTCTTAATGAATTGACGAATTTATTATCCTCTACGTCGTATGCACAAAATGGCCACTCACGTGGAACTACTAGTAATATTCAAGGTAAAGGACACACTTTAACCCTTCGCGAATCAGGTGGGGTGTGACCTACCCCTCCAAGCAAGATAAATTTCTATAATTCTTTTTTTTTAAAGTACGCGCGCATGTTGCCGGTTTTGTACAACTGAAGAGTATGATGTTACCGAATCATACTAAATTATAATATATTTATCAAGAGCATATAGTATGAGATACACCCACGTATGATCCATATTGATTTTCCACCTGGTTTGCGAAGGTTTAATAATCACATGTAAATGAAAAACTACTTTCTTAGTAAAATATTAATATTATTATAATAGATTATATTTATACAGTATGCATATTTTTACTACAAAATTTGCCGCAACGGAAGAGATCGTGACTTGGTACGAGAACAAATTCTCTGTTATAAAAATTCGATCTTTATTTATATTTGATTATATTTTTATATATAGAAAATATAATATAAAATAAAAAAAATAATATTATATTATTGCTTTCATAATTTTTTAAATAAATAGATATTATAACAATATTAATTTTAAACCATTAAGTATAATAATGTTCGAAAATATGCACAGTAAATCAAATTAATATAACTCAATAATCAAGCAATTCCTGGATTTACAATAATAAAAGGTTTCCATATTTAATGAGATATAAGTGATAAAAATGAATATATACGTTTCTGCTCACACAGAAACTTCTTCAGTTTGAATAATATAAATTTTAAACCTTTCCGTAACTATTCCCCATGATATTAGAGTTCATACAATTATTCTGCTATTTATATTCGTTCTCTTTTAGATTATAAGGGAATTTCTTGATATGTTCTCGATCATGTTCAGTAGTGAAATTTCATACATTAATTTCTTGAAAAATTTTTTTTTATACGACTAACTCTCCTCGTTTAACGGCGAGATCCTCGTTAAGTTATTGGTTTAATAAGTTATTGGCCGCTAATCAATATTAATTTGATTAATTCATTTGCAGCTGCCGCGGATTGCGTTCAGCCGAAACCCGAATGGAAACGCTATAAGCAATACACTCGTGATGACATCAGCGCGGCGATCGAGGCAGTGAGAAAAGGTATGAGCGCCGTTCAGGCTGCGCGAAAATACGGCGTGCCGTCGCGTACCCTTTATGATAAAGTGAAAAAGCTGGGGATCCCTACGTCCCGCCCATTCAAGCGCTCAGCGAGTAACGGTGGAAGCGGCGCTTGTTTCCCTTACGGAATCGGCGCCAACGTGAACGGCGCTCTTTATGACAACAATGCCAGCAGTGCCAATGCCCTCTCCGAAAATGAGAACGAAAGCAACGTCAACGCCCCCGAGGGTCTAGCCGGCACGAGTGCAGCGATTTTCGACGCCACATACGCAAAGGCGAAGGACTCATCTCGAGACCGCGGTGACTCGATACCAGACTCGATGGCCCGTTGCAGTTCGAGTCCGGTGATACGTTGCGCTAAGCAAAGACAGCAGCAGCAGCAGCAGCAGAACCTGGACGAAGTAGAGGACTTGTCGGTGAGTCGCAAATCCGACGTTCCAGTGATAGTACCGCCATCCACTACATCGACCACGATTAAAGACGAGGCGCAGGAAACAGGATTGGACAGTAACGACTGTTGCGATTATAGTTAACTTTTACAGTCCAGTGATGGAAGATAATAAGGTACGAGTAGTTTGATTTGCAGCAAGCTCAATTTCATTAAAACAGAGTTAAATTTGTTCTTGTTTTAAATATTACATCTTTTACGATTTTTTTTTTTTCATACTAAACTTCCATATATTGGGTGGTCCGGAAAGTCCGTGCGGATTTTACAATGAAAAATTGTATATACGATACCTTCGTCACAAAATGAACGAAATTTAAATTAAAAAAAAGGGTTTTAAAGCTTGAAATCTCTACTTTTAAAAGCTTATCACATTTTTTAAGTTTATATGAGTTTGATAATTTTTACATACCAAAAACTACGAGCTGAAAAAGATAAAAAATTTTCTTTTCACTTTGGGGGTCTCTCACGTGCCCAAAAAAAATTTACGAAAATTTTCGACTACCCATCGTGAAAACTTAAAGCTTTCCCTACAAAATCATTTTTTAAAAATGTTCCTATAATTTTTTGTTTCTGAGTTATTCGCGAGTTAAGTAAAGAAGCATTCTGATTTCGATTGCTCATAACTCCGATAAAAATCATCATATCGCAATTTAAAAAACAGATTCTTAAAGCTGAAACTTTGCTCTAGCGAATGATATAATTGTAACGAAAATTTCGCAACAAATAAAAAAACTTTTGAAAAATCAATGAAAAAATCCGCACGGACTTTCTGGACCACCCAATATGACTTCGTAAAATCAAATGTCCGAGAAAGACGTCTAATCGAGGCGTCTCTTAAAGTAGCCGTTTTTGTATTATTTCCTCAATTTTTCTAATTTCTATTTCTCTAACAAATTACATTAAATCTATTTTGACATTGAGCTCCTTATTACTCCATCTTCTCGTATATTGTTTTTTATAATTGCAACAGAATTTCCTTTATCGCATTTCTTTACCGAGTGTACGTTTTCATTCCGGATGGTCGAAAATAGATTTTGCAGAGTGTCCACCACAAATTTGATCAGTAGAACGGAACAAAATGCAGAATATGAATATGATGACTGATTGACCGCAGAAACCGAGCAATATCTTTCATTCTGTAATCATATAAATGACATATTCTATTTTTATGAATTTAACGAAATGACAAATTCTGCTCGATTTCTACTGGCAATCAAATCATGTCGGCAAGCAAACGAGCACGAAATTAACGCGGACGTAATTGACATCAATTTACTGCAATATTCTTCTCGAATGTGTTGATGAAAAGCTAGCGCAACATTTTACCGGAACGTTTTATACGTATGTCCGTAAATTCTTTGGATATACATTTTGATACGATAGACAAACGTAAATGTATTTATTCCTGTTTAAACTTATTCGAAATATATTTGAAAATAGATCCAAATAATCATCATAATTATCTTAAAAGATTAAATTACTAAAATAATGATAAAATTGTTAATTATTGCAAATTATTTTAATTATTGATTCGTTGTGCGTGATTCGCAATTTTGCATATAATTTAGAACTAACCTAAAGTATATTTATCCAAGATTTAAAATTTAACGCGAATTACGGTTTAATAAAACAATGAATTGTACAAAAGAACGTGTCGCTCACTAATCGTCGAAAACTGATCGGTTTCAACGCTAACAATGACGACGATAGAAAGGAATGCGTAGAGAAGATATAAAATTTAAACAAAAAATATGGTACAAATATTTTGAAAAACTTTACTCAAAAATATTTCTAAGGTTAGATAAGACAAATACATCGTGCAATGGTACTATACCGCGCAACGTTTGGAGATATCTTTTTTGTCTTGCGACATATTCATTTGTGCGGATATTTACCGTAGTAGGATTAAAACTTTAACAAATTGACAGCGAAATAATACAAGATTCATAAATGGAATCTCCTACTATTACGCTACGTATAAAGTGTCCTTTTCTCCCCTCACTATTGTGTCAACGTAAATGAAATAAAAATGATGGGAGATATTCTATAATAATAACGTGCCAGTAATAAGTAATAAGTAATAAGCATGGAAACATTAACACTTTCCGGATGATAAATTACTTGCATATTTGCTGATTTATCATTTCATTGCAAACTTTGTATTATTTTATATTGTATTATTAATAAATATCGCTGTTAATTTGTTAGCATTGTAAGTACTTTGTCGTTGTATTTGATCGTTACTAAACTACAACTCCGGGAGACGATTGCAATATTGCTCAAATCGATATCATCGACAGTAATGATAATAACGAACTACCTCTTGTAAACTACGTGTTCATTAACATAAGACTGATAAAACGCAGACTTGAAATATCAACGTATACCACCGATTGAAATACTCAAACTTAATTGAGGCAAAGTATCGAGAAAGTTTCAATTTGCAATTAAATAAAGATACAAGCTTTCTGTATTATATCTGCAATACGGAAAATATTGAAGAATGCACAAATGTATGTTTACATTTTACAGTGATCTTCGAAACACGAAATATAAAATACTCAAATTATTAATTTACAATTGTTTAGCATTTTGCGTACATGACATATATTTCTATTTTTAAAACGCGCTAACTTTGCATTAGTTTCGATGCATTTTTTTTTTAATTTCGTGATTTAATTTATTTACTTTTACTTCTCGAAACATATATATTTTTTTGAGAATAGAAGATGGATAAACAAATTACGTTTAATTAAAAACGCATTGTAAAATGTACGGTTGCATTCAAAGAGTGCTAAATGCGCATAAAAAAAAAAACAGGAAGGTGAACGCTTAATAACTTTCCGCCGATGCTTTGCCTCTCTACGCAGACCAAAGTTACTTGGAGGATTTCTACCTCAATATATAAGTCATTCCATGTTTACCATAATAAAATTTTTATAGAGAAGATATTTACAGAATGTATATGCGAAACAAAGCAAGATAACATTAATGTATTACATAAGGCAACTGGAAGCCTAATATTATTTTAATTAAACAAATGTTTTATTTAAGAGTGCGTATATTACATTATTTTAGTCATTGTTATCGCTGCGCATTATTATTTTTTATACCGCAGAGTATACTTGTACAACTATAGCAAATAAGACACGTTATTGTTAGGCTTTAATAAATTTTACATTATCAAGAACGAGTAACTGTAACGAGTGCACTAATTAGATATTCGATCGATGCCAGAAATATACTATTAGATATCCTATTTTGACAATATCCTATTTTCACGTAAAAGAATTTTCATTAACCGCGAATCTTTCTTTTCCTTTTTCTTTTTATCCTGATACGTTTCATCTCTTCCTTCGGCTCATTTAACATATGTTTCTACGTTGTATTCTCTTTTCCAAAATATCTATTTGCAAATCAAACTGGGATATCTTGTAAATGAGGAAAGGATATAGGATATAATTAATTAAGGAAATATTACACGTATCCACGTATGTACGGATACGAGTACGTTGTTTAAAAAAAAAAACCGATTAGTTTATCAGAGTATATTATGCAGCATTGATGCGAGAATACATTTTATATAATCGGTATATCCATTTTAATCCATGTGTGTGTGTCTGCTGAGCGCATTTCGAAGCATCAACGCGCCTGTATGCGCGTCTTTTAAATACGATACATGCGTCGTGAGGTTTTTTTCTCTTAATACGTGCCTTAATACGTTGATTAATCTTTACGTTGATTAATCTTACGTGAACGTGGCGCTTTAATTATTAGTGTTGATTTTATACCGTTTATTATCAGCCATCACCATGTTGCGTAAAAGAGTCCATTATTAGTGCGTGAAACTCCATTATCTCACTTGTGATTTTGATCTTTCTCCTTGTTCGTTTTATTCATACAATTTGTAAATAGTCATAGGCGGACGCAAACGACACTTTTAACAATTAGCGGTGTAAGACTGATTGTAAGACTGATTTTTTTTTACTACGTTGACTTACACGCACACGCAGAATGCGCGCCCACGTATATAGGTATATGACGCGCGTATATAAATAAAAAAATACATATATATATA